GGTATGCTATGCCATGTGGCCATACATGCATGCAACCGCTTGTTTATATCTCAGACAGAGATGATTTATGAATTCCAATTATATATATAAATTTATATATATATATATATATATATATATATATATATACACAACAATTGGACTATCAATAAATTAAGTATAAATGATATTTTTATAAATCATTCTTAATCTTAATTCTTAAATAATACGAAAATTTTGAACATATTAAAATAAGATAAAATAATATATTTTATCTTATTTAACCTATGCTGCCGTAATTTTATCTTTAAAAAACATGCTGATTAAAAGAATTTATAAATTATTATTTAACAAGTGTGGACGCTTAGGTAACATGTGACTTTTTTTAAAATATTTTTTTATATAAAAACACGTATAATATTTAATAATACTAATTATTGATATATTTATATTATATTTTTATAATATTTCTTTATATATTAAGTTCTTAATTGATATTTTTAAACCACTCTTTAGTAAATTATTATAAACTCGTCGTTTTATAGGAGTGGGTGGTCCATTCATTCTCTATTCGTTGGCTTGTTCTATCCCTCGTGAAACCCGTGCATTTTTATTTTTTACCCTGTTCAATGGCACCATAGGAAGTGAATTATTATTACTTTTGTTACTCCAGTCAATTTTTTTTCCCACAAAAAAAATCCCGATTTAGAATGAACAAAAGCCGGAAATTTTGTTGTCGCAGAATTATTACTTCATTAGTATCTATAAGTAAATTTTATCGTCAATTCGGTAGCATTTAGTATAAAATAAAATAACCTGATGTCATAATTTAAATTATTAATTATATTTTTTATTTGAAAAAAATTAACGATAAATCTAAAAACTGTTCAATATAAATGTGAATCAAAAGATGAGTGGCGCGAATGAGTACAAGTCGTAGAAGGGAAGGTTGGTTGATATGAGCCGACCCACCCGACCCGACCCGACCCGATCCGAGGCAGTTTAACCGGTGGGGGCCCGCAGTGTAATATTGACAGAAACGGACAAGAGTGTGCAGATCAGTCTCTCCATCTCCGACACCCGGAGCCTGGTAACGACGCCGTGTGTTGCCTCCGCTCACTCACTCACTCTCTCTCTCTCTTGTATAATTGGCATTCCTTCGCATCCAAGGTGGAGCAGTTGAAGAGCTTTGGCAGGGAGCTAGCAATGGGCTCCCAAGGCCAATCCAAGGAGTTTCTGGATCTCATAAAGTCCATCGGCGAGGCCCGATCCAAGGCCGAGGAGGACCGAATCGTGCTCCGCGAGATCGAAACCCTAAAGCGCCGCATCAACGACGCCGACATCCCCAAGCGCAAGATGAAGGAGTACATCATCCGCCTCCTCTACGTCGAGATGCTCGGCCACGACGCCTCCTTCGGCTACATCCACGCCGTCAAGATGACGCACCACGACGCGCTCCTCCTCAAGCGCACCGGCTA